AAAAAACCCTTGGCATTTTTATAACTGTTACTTTGCCCTGCAGTCTAGCCTGAAGTTCCGTTGTTGCCCTTGGTAAAGCTTTCAGCATGCTTTCCAGAACCTTCATGCACATGCACAGCTCTTTTTGTCTCCCCATGGTGGCTATTTAATATTCCAGATTCCACACAGCTCACTTACTTCATATGAGTGTCATTTCATATTCCCCAAGGCATGATGCAAATCCTAATTTGAAGTTTAAACCCAAACTAGCTTTATGGTACTGAGTACCTTTGTATTTCTGAGGTGTAGAAGATAAGAGGTATCTGGATCAACTCAGCAATGTGAGAATTGAATAAATTTTCTAGGAAGGATTGGATTACTTTTATTTTTTTTTTATTTAGACAGAATTAAATTCTGATAATTTATATAAATCAATTTTTATATAAACTGAATCTAAAAATCAAACTGAACTAAAAGTCATAACTGAACAACATGCAAAAGACATAAGGCAGAAGAGGTAACCTATGCATTCCGTGACAGCAGTTCAACTGGTTTTATGTTCATTTAGTTAAACTATGTGTGCACTGTTAACTTAATATTACAGCCCTCAAATACTATTAAGCAAGTGGGTTGCTAAGACTGGAACCATTTTTCTGTCTCAGGCTCAGAAACCAATTAGCAGGACCAATTTAAAGATACTCTCCATTATAAATGTGAGGAAGGAATAGTCTGCTTCCTACTTCACACATGGGAATAAATAGTGTCATTAATAAAGTGTGAGTGGAAACAGATAAAACATGTGAACTCTAACTTCTTCAGCAATTTCTTATTCTGTGTGTGCAGTATTTTGCCAGAATATTAGAAACTGTTAATCTGTGGTTATATGTCAGCCATTGTCAGAGGCACTGTCAGATCTTTAGGCAAAAATTTAAGGTTTCCAGGGTATTGCAAAAAGTTTGTGAAAATAATATAGCAAGGAATTACCGCTTCTCAGAAGTGAGTTCATAAACTAGATTTATTATTAAACATTATTTTTAATTATATGGAAGCTATGAAAAAAAGCTGTTATAGCCAAGCCCCCCCCCAACAAACATGACAGTGATAAAAAATATCATGCATAATTCTCAAGGGTATTTTAATTTTTTCTCAGTTGCAGTAATCTCATGTCACTCTAGTAATTTTTGTTAAATATGTTGTCCCCAAATTTGAAGTTCTTGCTGGTTAAATTAATATTTAGGTATGAAATTAGGAGTCTGAATAAAGTGGCCACATTTGCAAATGTGTTTTACGGCTGCAACTCCTGTATATTTGCATGACATTTGTGGATGTTAAGTGTTTAATGAGAACCAGGCTATTTATATTTAGCCACCTGAGTAACATGTTTAGGAGCCTACCTTTAGTTGCATGCAAGTGTTTGAATTATTTTTGTTATGAATATTTTCTTGATAAGACATCAATTCAAACAGAGAGATTTGACCATACATCTGTACTGCAAAATCAAGGTAAATTGATTTGTGGTCATCCTATATTTCTTCCTATCCCACTGGAGGACCAGCTGACAGGCAAGCCACCATTTGCTGGTATGAGTGGCATTAGCTTTCTGTTCTTAAGTTTCTCTCTTAACAAACTACAATCCACATATCTTTTTGGAGTTTTAATAAGGTTTAATTCATTAATACAGGAACTGTACTTTGTGATTACAAAATGAAATTGCTATAAAAATATGACTTCTCTTACTGCTCTTATTTCAATGTATCATTATCAGTTCCTGAATGGAAGAACATAAAATATTAAACACACAATGTATGACTTCAGTCCCCATGGTAATTTGGCTATTCATTTTAAAAAAGCAGCACACACCTATCATTCCCCCCACACCTTCAAAGTGTAAATACGTCAGTACACTACCATGCACAAATATTATTGTTCATTTACAATGTATGCTTTGTGTATTTAAAAGGTTTTTTCCAACCAAGCACACATTTCAATTGTAAGTTCCTTTTAGGAGAAAACTCAGCTTTTATTTGCTGGAGTGAGAATATGCATGTATTTTTAACACTTTTTTCAACATTTGGTTAAGATTTTTCTTATGAAGTAAATTTCTTTAATACAGAGTTATCACAGTTATTAAATAGGCTACACAAATATTAGAAGATACAAGCAAAATATGTTACTGTTCTTTCAGTGCACGACCAGTTCTACAGAAGCACATTAGTAACGAAGAGGCTTTGAAGAAAATAGTTACACAGTCATACCACTGTGACATGGTAGAATAGTCCTTTCAGAGCCCAAACACAATGGCAGACCTCTTTGGTTCGGCAAAACCTTTTAGTTTGAACTCACTGCTCCAGCTGTTTGGTTTGAATCTTAGTCTTCCTGTGTAATATCCATTTCTGTGTCCTGGTTCTACTTGTCTGGCTTATCTGGGAAGCCTTTCTGAGCCGTCACACAGTCCCATAGGGTAGGCAGGGAGCCATGCATCCAGAAGAGCTAGGCAAGATTTTGGAAATGCTAGAATAAATACCTTGATTTGTACCACTACAAAATGCTCTAAAATCTTGGAAATCCCATATCAAGATATGAGCTTTACAGACCATCTCTGTAATCTGAATTAATGCCCAAAAATGGTCTCCATCCACGTGAAAGAGCCATAGAATTGACATTTTTTTGCATCTATGATCATAGGATATATACACAATCTGTCACGGTGCCTAAGCCCATAGTTGCAGAGGCAGAATAAAGATTCAGGAGCCTTGGATATATGTGAGTGTTCTTTTTTAGATCTTCCTGTGTTTTTATCACATACACCTAGGTGCATGTTTTCATAAAACTTCCAAGTATAGAAATAAGATATTTGGGCTCAGTTTGGCTCTGATTGTCATATTTGTGACACATTTAAAAAAAAAAAAAAAAAAAAAAACAAACAATCAGTATCCAATACAGTGAATTATTCTGAAAATCTGTTCTCTTACAGAAAAGCCTAATAGGAAGCTTGAGGCAGTATGAAAACAGTGTGGGTGGGAACTTTGATTTTTTTCTGGCCCTAGTGTAGACATGTGATAACTTGCTCTTCTGGAGCAACAGAAAATTCCTGGAGAGGTTGTGATCTCTGTGTAAAATATGTACTGTTTCTGTCTGATGTTCTGCACTTGTCCAGACAAATATTCTAGGGGAGATCCTGCTTTCTCTGAAAAAAACCCCGCAACTTTTCATGTGATCAGGAATTCATCTGCACTTTGCAGTTCTAGTATAATAACCATGTGGATAAAGTATAACCTGAAAGAGTGTTAGTGTTCCAAAACAGTACTAATCCTTGCTATTTTTTCCAGTTCTTTAAAATAAAATTATTTCAGTTCACACATCTACTCTATCGTGCTACTGAAACTGTAGCTATTGAAATAGCTGTAGTGTAAATAAATTTCTCAACAAGACAAATGTGTAGTTTTTCTGTTTATTTCCCTTTACAGTATCTCCTAAATATCAGTGTCATCTTCTCAATTTTGACAGGAGCTAGATGGTATTTGGATAAGACATGACATTTTGAATAATGTTACAAGTATCTGTTTCCAGTGTCTATCAAATTGGGATTTGGAATATATTGTCTTAAAATGCCCTAGATGGAGAAAATGTTTTGCTCATAAACTTAATGTCTGAGGTATGTTTCTACTATGGCAGTTTTGAGTTTTGGTACTCAAAACATATACCATCCTTTTCAAATAAGGACGAACTCCCACTGACAGAAAATTGTATTGAAAGACACCATAACACACTCACCATGTTTGCACTTGAACTGATTTACAGTGTGGGTACTTAATCTCTGCTTTTAGGTTAGATACGTAAAAGTTAGGATACAAGCATTCCTTCTTTCATATGTGAATTTTTTAATTTACAAATGCAAAATGTCGTGTGACGGTATGTCTGTATACCTCTAGCAATGTGATGTTTTCAGTACCAAATCCTCTGATTTCTATGTCTATCTGTACAATTAAATAATATCTTCTACTTAAAATTCCGTGAAATACCAACTGGACATTCTTCATCTTTTAAACTGAACTGCTGCATAGTGATAATTATATATATTAAAATGTAACATATTTGTCTTCAGCTGATTGAATTGTGTAATAGATGAAGAATATGCCTGTATTTGTAGTTTGGAAGTGCTTTAAAACCAACTGCGCTGAAAAGTGCTAAATACTGTGTTTTTCTCCATACTATTTGGCAGCTGACTTCTGCTGTTCATGCTGTCCAACATATTTGCCCATGACATGCCTGAAAATGTTTATGTTGTTTTTAAAAGTATGTGTGTGATTTGATGTAAGACACTTTTCAAATGCAAACATTTTTTCTCTAAGAATATATCAAAATCCAAATGTTCATGTTAGTTTGATATAAACTTAGCTACTACAGATGTAATAGCTGCAGGATCCTCAGTATTTTTGGAAACTTCTAGTGATTAAGAGCAATGAATAACCTTTTTGCCATTTTGCTTGGTGAACTGTTATGTGCAAATTGGATTAATAGTATAGCAATAGAAGTCCAAAAATACGTAAAAATATTTATGTCGTAATATTGTTGCTTTTAAGAAGGTGAGAAATAAAAAGGTGAATCTGTTCTGAATTGGACATTGAATTTGTATCTCCCACAACTTGGTGAGTATTTAGACACCAAGTTCACAGGCAAGTAATGGTCTTGCTACCCTTATCAGGCTTTTTTAATTTGTGAGACTTGCTTCAATTGAAAGGAGTTGTAGGCTTTAAGAAAACAGTTTAGTTCATGACTTCTTATCCAAAATACGCCTTTTTCAGCAGTTTATATAACACTGGCATGCAGCCAAGAGTCAGGTGTGTCAGCACAGCTCTCTGCCCAAATTAATGTGCCCAAATTAGTGGTCCTTGCTGAGAGATCTCAGCTTTTTTAAAAGTTCAGGATGATACTTCTTTCCCTTTAACCCACCTCATAAGAACTAATTATTTGCATTTCTGATTTGCATCATGTTCACCACCTGTAATTTTTACCCACAGATTTTCCACATGACATATGATCTGGCCAGTGCTGTGGTAAGAATCTTTAATCTGATTGGAATGATGCTGCTGCTGTGCCACTGGGATGGTTGTCTGCAGTTTTTAGTACCATTACTCCAGGATTTCCCACCAGATTGCTGGGTGTCGCTAAACGGTATGGTTGTAAGTATTGTTCGTTTTTCATTGTGCTTTCTAAACGTTATCTTTCTAAAGAGTTAGCTTCAGACTTAAGTGTAAAAATACATGCCTAGTAATACACTGCCCTGCAATTCATTCAAGGTTACTTTGAGGTTTTGTTGTCTGGCTTGCTAATGAACTAAAGTTTGTTATGTAGCCCTGACCACTGATAAAAAGATATTGACTCATTGTCGGTAAATAAGCCAGAAAATGCTTCTAGTTTTAAGGCAATTTTAATTTATTAATGCTCATTCCCTCAAAGAAGCTGCCAAAAGAAATTTGGAAACACTCAGATCACCAGCGCTTTCCATTTAGGCTGTAGTTTCAGAATGCTCCTGAAGGGATATTACTGGTGTTTGTTTCATCTAATGTTGTCTTCAGTTTGTTTTTTAAATAAATTCTGGGTCATCTCATGATCTCTTTACAAAGTTGTTCCCAATTTAACAGTTGATATATTTTTTTTTCTAAGTAAAATCAGAGTAATGATACTATGATACTTCACTGATCCTTTTGTGTGTGAGAACAGTCTGTGCAAGGATGGAATGTGGCTGTGCCTTATTTATAAGGAAGAGTAATGATGTTCTGCTTTCTTGACATGTGCCTTAAAGATCAACGACTGTGTAAAATTAAGTAGTTTTTATCGAGTCAAATAATGAGGTAATACATAGAACATTTTCATAGGAAATACACTGAAAAAGTTGTTGAAATGTGCCTATACCAAAAAGAAAAGCCCCCAAGCAACTCTGTCATTGGCCCTCTGAAAACATGTGTCTCTTCCGTTTTTACAATGTTAGAATCCATAAAACCGCATCTTTATTGTAGGTAGGCATTTTGCACAGTCCTAAATATTTCTGTTGTCGAAACATAACAGTATTTGTTCCTTCAGGAACATGATACTGCACATTAATGTGGGAGCTCGTTGACTAAGATTGTCAGTCATACAGACAAATATTTACAGTCATCAGGCAACATATTTAATTATAAGCAGTATGTTTGCTGACAAGTCATTGTGCATCATTCCGAAAAAAAATAGTGACATATCTTCAAAAATTGGGTTGCTACAAATAAAAGTAGGTCACCAGGATGCTGACTGGCACGTCTTTGTATTCTGCTGCATTCTCGATTCTTCTTTGTAACGTCTTCCATTCACATTTACAAATGGTACATTTTCTACCAGCTTGTTAAAGGTCTGGATGGAAACCACACTAGTGAGTGAAAGGAAGCCTTGGGTTACACTTAATTGAGTATTTAACTTTTTAAGAACACTGAACTAATAAATTCTTTCTCTTCCATAAGAAGAGCTACATTTAATCTAAGAAGGCTGTGCACAGTGTGCACATGCTCAGGGAAATCCTTCTTTCTGCCTGCCCACAGTCAGGTTTTTTTATGGAAACAATATTATCTCCTTACTGGTCACATAATCTTGGACGATCCTTTTGAAAGTTGCACATTTTTTTATTTTTTTTTTTTTTTGGCAACTGAATCTGTTGCTGTTGAATTAATGTTATGGGAAGCAAGATTATGTTCAGAGCATCGGCAGACTTTTAGTGCTATGGCAAGAGAGAGTTGTGGACTGCCAGCCTGGAATCAGTAACATATTTAAGGCTGTTGTTGTGGCAAAGAACTAGACCTTTCTTCTGACCTTGCCATGATGTTACGAGACATTTCCTCATTGCTTTCCAGTCTCTGGAAGTGAGTTCTTTAGCACTGAATACAAACAGAGAAGCCATCATGGAATATCAGTCCTCTGAAATGATAGAGGGAACACAAGGATGATGGTGATAATGGTTATATGCTTTGCTGGTGTATTCAGAGTCTGACTGCTGACTTTAGAATTTGTAAGGGCTTCATGTTCCTCATACTGCAAGAGCTTTGGAAAGAGGGCTACCCTACTCTTGCAGTATACTGTAGCATAAAACGATTGAATCTACTCTGAATTTTAAAATTGTTGTTACTGAAATAACTGCACCTAATATTGGGGTTTGGACTCGAATGCTGTTGAGACAGAAAGTCAGATAAGAATCTTATTACTTCTTCTGCCCTTAACTTCTTAGTGAACTGGTAGTGATGGCCATGGCAAAAGGCCAACACTGTCAGAAAGAGGAGGTCTTTCCCTAGCTCCAGCTAATGCAACTTTCTGTTAACGTATTCCCTTCTACTCAGATTTTAATCATAGATTTTAGTAGATTAGTAGGTGAAGATAACTAATTGCACCTGCATATATTTAGAGTTTTGGTCAAATTTCCAAGTCAAATAATTCTGAAATACAATTGCTCTAATAAAGGCAAATTGCCCCTCTCTGAATTTAATTTTTTTTTTTTTTTGAGAAGATGAGCGTTTGTGTGAACATTTCCTGTGTTTCAGACTGTGGCTTCAATGTACATTCATCAAAATGACATTGTTACAAGGGCTAACCTGAGGCTAATACACCAATTTTGCTTCAAAGTAAAATTTTAACACTTATTCATGTAAACATTGTCTTGAAGACTTATTCAAGGCAATATGTGCTTCACCAGAAAAAGTTTAGTTTTCCAATATGCAAGTCAGTTGCAAGCCAGAGTATTTGCAGATAACCTGATGCTAAAGGAAGTAAGGATACCATGAGGATGACATGCTGTCTCCTCAGTTGACACAGCCCAGCATACTCTTTCAGCCCATAGTTCCTTTCTGTCTTACACATTAGTTGCTTCAGGCTGCAGTGTTAGAACTTCTTCTAAAAACCTTCTCCTGAAAGCTGTTTCATCTGTACAGGCTGATAGTGAAAGTATTAAAATTCCGCAGGCATGCTCATGGTTTTACTTTATAAATACTGCTAAGAAAAAGAATGTAGGTTAAATTTAGTGTCACAAAGGAATAAGGTAAAGAAACCAAGCTGCAGTTTGCTTACTGCCTCTCTGAATAACGTGACTCAATCCAATTAAAGCAAATACGTTTGATTTTCGCCCTTGAAAGGATGATAAAGATGTCATAGTAGACTATGAAATGAAATGGAAATCCTTCCTTGTAAAAGTAAATAAGATCACCACTGGTTAATGCTGCATCAACCTACAGCCTCATCAGTTCAACAAAAATGTTCAGATCACATTGGGATATTATCTTCAATACTAATTATGAACCCATATTGTATCTGTACACTCAGGTTGTCTTCCTTGGCCAGTTCCTAACACTGGCCTTCATGTTGATATGAAGTGAAAGCCAGAGGTGGCATCTTCCTTTAATTTTTCTAAATGTGATTCCACTTGCCCACTTCTGTATCTTTACTGCCATTTGATTGTCCTGTCTTTACTAATGCCGAGTTACTACTGACAGGCAGGATCTTGTGCTCTTCCAGAATCTCAATGCACTTCTCTAAAAATAAGAAAACCAGTAAATAAAATAGAAAAGTAAGCAGCATCTGTTTTTTTTTTCTGCTCACTTTAAGTCATATTTCAACCAATCCATTACAGACAAAATAATAATTACTTCTGTGAGGGTATATGGCTCTCTGATGCTGTTCTTAGGTTTTTTTAACCCCAGGATTGTGAATTTCATTCCTAAAAAAGGTCTTTTCTGAAGAAATTTCACAGTCCTTCCTAATGATGCTGCCTAATTTCTCCTTGGCTCAGAAAGCTTGTTATCCGCAGCTTCTTGTGTGATTTATCCCCAGCTTTCTGATCTGCATTGCTTCAGACTAGTGTAGTAATGACTCATAGGCCAAACTTCTTTATCATACCTCAGAGCTTGAGCCAATAGTTCTTTAGAGAATTAGGAGTAAAACTTGCAGCTAAAACCAGCAGAAGCACAAGAGCAGGAGAGCACAGTGATCCTCTCCTATAGTCAGTCTGTGCAAAACAAGATTCTACATTTTGCATTCAGTTTCAGATACAGTGAATTACAAAAACCTAGTGTGTAAGTCCCAGCTGACGAATGGTTATAGCCAGGTCTTACATGGGGCAGAGTTTCTAGGCAAGTAGAGATGAGAGATGACATTTTTGCCACTGATGCCATCTGATCATATAAGCATGACTCCTGCAATAAAGCATCCCTTGCAGTAGATGATTAGTTTCAGATGTATTGGAAGTTTGCTCTGGCTTTTCATATCAACTGTGGCAAAGACTGAAAGGTTTAGTCCTTGAAGTAACAGTATCTGAAGATCCCCAACCTGTATTTTCATGTATTAGCAATAATTGGTTGTGTGGTTAGGAAACTATACAGACCTCTAAGCAAGGTATTTGCCTGGTATTTCCAGATTTTTCACGTGTAACGTTCCCTTAGTGAGATAAAAATCTAGAGAAGTATAAAATACAACTTGAAGGGTGAGTTTTTTAAAAGCCCAAGTTAATTGTAAAGCTTTAGGAAAGCTCTTGCTTTACTAGCATTTCTCATGGCAGTCAGCCGATGTTTGCTCAGCAAGAACTCTTCAGGTACTCTGGTTTCTTTGTTTTGGCTTTTCCTTACTGTCCTTGCAGTTGCATTGTTTGCAACTCTTGGGGGGTTTTAGATTTCAGATTTGGTGAAGTGGGATTTTGCATTATATTAACTCCCCTTTGTGTCACATCATTTCCTCAGGGGCAAAGGATCTTCATCTCTAACAATATCAGCATGGCTAGGTAAAGGACTTGGGAATTTCTGCTGTCGTCTGAAAGTCCTTTTCTTTATAAAATGAATTACTTAAATTAATACTTGATAGGGAAATTGAGAAATCCAGGAGATGGTGAGGATTTATAATGCTATAAGAACTATGCTAACATGTATATAGTATGCACAAAAACTATTCAGTAATAACACACAAAACTTTAATTCTCAACATTTCTTAGTAATGAACACCATTTTCAATTACACAATCTCATGTTTTTTGTTTTGTTTTTTTTTTTTTTTTCAATAAGATCTCTGTTTTACTCAGTGGAGATCAAGGAATGCATTATAGTATAGAAAAAAGCTAAGATAAAACCTATGTGGTCTACCTAAAGCCTCAGCAGTTGTTGTAAATTGTATTGGTGTTCAGT